CATGACCATAGACGTATGATCAGACCCCATGACGTATGCATAACCGCAAGCATATGACATAACCATGACAAGAGGAACGGGGAATCCCGTGACATATAGCCCCAGTCTAAGCCTAGGTTAGTAGGAAGCTCTCGGTCTTTGTAAGGTCTTCCTGCCTTTCTAATGCTTTTTTGTCGGGTTTTGGCTAGTGGTCAGCCAGTTGTACGATGGGGAGAGCCTGGTTCTGGGCCTTATACCATTGTAGTCGATTAGTAGTCTCCTGAGCCCACCTAGCCTTCTAGGCCTTATTAAGAGCCTCTATAGAGCTCTTGCCTTAGGCTCTCCAGGCTGCAATAGCCTCTGTAGCTTCTTCTATTGCTAGAGGTTGCATTGGCTCTCTGGCTCTTTGTAGTGCTTGGAAGCGGTTGCAGATGCTGTGGTAGGCCTTCTCAACTAGCAGGCTAGGAGGCTAGTATCTTATAAGAGGCCTTATTATAGGCCCAGTTGCAAGCCTAGTTGCAGGCTCAGTTGCAGGCCTTATTGTCAGCTCAGAAGGCCAAGAAGTCGGGAGGGTAGGCTTGTAGAGCCTGTCTTCAAAGTCGGCTAGCCTCTTGTTGAGATAAAGGGCTAGTAGAGGAATCCACGTTTCGGCCTCAAGGTGTCGGGTTGGGGTAGCCTTATAGGCCCCGGCCACTATCCGTAGGCTCTTATTCTAGGCCTTCTAGAGGTCGTTTGCAATGCCCTATAGCTAGCCTCTAATAGAGGTAGGCCGGTAGAAGCTTAAAGCTCTATAGGCTAGGGCACTGCGAATGCACTAAGTATAGACCGCTCTGGCCTTGGCTAGGGCTGCGCCCCAAGTTAATAATAATAATCATGATAGTACAGCATGGGAGAAGATGCGTTGCATATAAAATAGCGTAGAGGAACCGCTTGCCCGAACTGGGCAGAGCGATTGCCCTTGCGATATAAGCATTAACGTGGTCCACCATCGAGCGGGACCCCCATCGACCGGGACACTTTTCTAGACCACACCACTACAAACTGCCAAAAAGTCCACCAAAATCTGATGCGATCAATTGAAATCACTCAGAATCGCTTGAGCTATCTATTTCTCCAGCCTCTTGGCATGTCCTTGCATTGTGGCCAGTCTTGCGGCAGATGCCATAGAGCCGCGAACCCGTCCGACGCCTCTTTGATGGTCCTTCAATTTCCTCCTCGACGCGCCCTTCCTCTTCCACCCCACCCTTCTCCGCCATTTTTTCTCTAGATTGGCTTCCATTAATAGCCCCACCATCCTGGAGACGCGTCCGTTTGGCTCCACGGCGCTTGGAAAGTGCTTCGTTGGCCTCCTGAAGTGTCCGTACCTCGGCCTCTAAAGAATGATCCGGTAGGAAACCGCTTGCATTCCCTTCGAAAGCTGGTCGACAGCGGCTAGAATCGGAGTTGGAGAGCTTCCTTGGTGTCTCGCAATCTGATCCTTGATAAGGGTAGACTGCGAAAGGGCTTCGTTAGTAGTTCGGGGCGTCTTGGAGACCCATGGTATTTATGGTTCATAACGGGTCCCAGGGGGTGTTGGCATCCGCAACTTGACATCCAGCTTCGAAAGTACGGCCTGCGGGTCGTAGGGGATAAGTCCAGACCCTCGAAAACCCCTAAGAGACTTTTCTTAGGTAAAAGTCTGGTAGAAGGCGGCTTTAAATGCAAGGAAGAACTTCGGCTTAGTGATGTGCGTAATCCGGGCCTTGATGAAGAGCTCAATTTCGGCACCGTACATCTTCTTCAAGACGCTAAAACAACTAACATCGAGAGGCTAGGTAAGATACGACGAATAGAGAGGAAGATAGAGTGTTATAATGTTGTACTTCTTGCAATAGTCTTTAAAATCGGCGCTAATATGGCTCTCATAATGTCACGAACCAACCATATATTGACGCCTGGTGGGGCGACGGAAGCCAATGAAGAGGCGTAACACCAGGGGAAAGCTGAGGTGGGGCCTGCGAGAGGGATCACCGCCAAGGAAGTGAGCGCGGTGAGCGGCCAGGATCACCGCCAAGAAGGTGATCGCAGTAATCGCAGGTACGGAGGTACCTGGGGGAGGAAGCTGTATATAGTCTACGATCTTTAGGCCTACGGGCATCACTGTAGCTTTCTCAGTAAGCAACTCAAGTGCAAGATTGTCAGTACCTTTGGACATTGCTTGTTATGAACCCTTTGGCTTCACCGAACCTCACCCCGTTGCGTCACACACCGCTGGACCTCTATCTCAATAAACCGTTAGCTGACTTTGAAGAATGGCTACGCAAGAAGTCCCTATAAACAGGGGCTGGGCCAGGGGAGGAAAGAACCACTGCAGGGCACTTGATCGCAGAGGCTTGCAATAGGATCTACTACAAATCTAGAAGGAAGAAAAGGGGCCCAGGGCAGAAGCCTAGACATGGCCCACAGAGCCTAACGGCTATTGAACAGGCCATTATTACAGTGGGCCAGTGAGCCAGTGAGCCAACCAGAGATGGGAAGTGGGAGAAAAGAAGAACAAGAAGTTGAGCACTGACGAAGTGGTGGAGCTGGCCTGGCATGTAACGGTCCCAGGAGTATATTGCAACTAGCTGGTGACGACTCTACGAGTTTGTCTCGAATGGAGAGAGAAAAAGAAAAAGAGTGAAAGACTATGCAAGATATCTGCCGTCTTATACCTCCACATCCTTGGCCTGTGCGCCGATATCGAACAAGATAGAAGTCCACCGAATCTCGAGTCTTTGGCCGAGAGTTTGCCGAGGCCTTTACGGGCTCAGCCCGTTACATGGCAAGCCAAGTGAGAGCAATAGAGAGCTGCCCGCAGGGGGGCAACAGTAGGAAGATGGCCGACGAAGACCCTCCAGTCCTTCTCTTCACCAACAAAGCCTTGAGGAAGCACGAGGGCCTCACAAAGACTCAGAGTACTCTCCTTTACCAGGCTCATATAGGGGATATAGGCCTGCAGGACTACCTGTTCAAAGTCAAAATCCCAAGAGATCCATACTCCCTACTGCGAGTGTAGCGAAGGCAGGGAAACCATAGAGCACTTGGCGGTATGGTGCCCTGACCCATCGCTACAGAGGCCGTGGGAACAGCGGGAAATTTGGTCACATAGGGACCTACAAACCGTACTACGAGGGGTAGGTGCCCGGAGTACTAGGCTGATTCAGAAAGTCTTTAGCTAGCTAATAGACTCTGGCTGGCTACTGGAATATAGCCTAGCTAAAAGGCTAGAGCTGTCACGGGCGGGACAGGCTGATAGTCCAATGGCAGTTGTATTCGTGCTAAGCTACAATCTGGGCTCTATTCCGTCAGGTACGGGCAGGCTTGA